ATATATTTATTTATTTCACTATTTTAAATACTGCAGCTGAACCGTACGCTGGGCATGGTCAAATACAATTGTCTGATATATCACAACTGAACGCTCCTCGAGCGTGGCATACGCATAGGCAACATACAAATACAAACACACATATGTATATACATACACGTCTGTGTTTGGCTGTGTGTGGCGCAAAACCGTCAACAGCTCGCAGCGGAGAGTCAAAAAGAAAAACAACCCACCCAACGAACCAACAACGAATGGCTTCTATCTGTTCCGGCTTTTGCCTCTTTTTGATCGTGTGTTATATTATAGCACACTTGTGCATTTGTCCACGTGTGTGTGTATGCGCGCGCGAGCATGTGTATATGGGAGAACGTCTGCTCATTATAAGCATGTGTGTGTATCCAAATGTGCTGCAGCCCGTGCCACTTGTATGCTTGCTGCTAGCTCTGTATGTAAGTATGTGTGTGTGTTTGTATGAGTTTCTGCAGCTGCCATATGTGTGAGCGAGTGAGTKAGTGAGTGAGGGGTGGAAAGCCTTTCTGCTCCGTTGCTTTTTGGCCTACGTTAGCTACTGTTTAACAGTCGGTTTTGCTGTTTGGTATCTCCTTTGTATTAACATGCAACTAGAACTATGTAGGTATGTATCCCAGCTTGTACAAACAAAATACAATCTAAATTGCATTCAAACATATACTTACATTAGATGATATACAAACATATATATATGCAGGCATACATACATACACATATGAAAGTAAGAGAATGCAAAAAGCGTCTGCCAAAACTGAATCTCTGATTCTCTGAATCTGCCTTTGACATACATTTTCTTTGATGCATTTTAGTGTATTGCTTACAAATATTCATTTACTGTATCCCTATATATACATACCCATAAAAAGTGAATGTGTAGGGTACTTATTATTAACTAAATTTTATATTGACTTTAATGCGCCAAAACAGAACGTGGATATGTCTCTATCAAGACATTAAAGCTAGAAGGCTCTTATTTAACTCCTGACTAAATCTTGCTCAAGTAGAATCATCAATTATTTGAACACTAACAAGTTTAACTTTACCTTATCGGGTATAGCTATTTATAATAATTTGGGTACAGACTGCATCAAGCTGTTTCTATAGTAAACATGGAGTTCGAGCCTGTTGGAGAACTGAAGACAGCACGATCAACTAACCACCGGAAGGTCAAAATTTGTTCATTTAAAATATTCAAATATTTACCCTTTTTCAGGACCTTATCAACAGAAATTAAATCTACCAAGGCATTGTAAGCAACACACCCCCAAAATGACTTAGTCATTTACTGACACGTTCTTTCAAATAGTTGTTAAGTTTAATTTATCAATCCAACCCTTACTATGTAGTATGCAGTGCTTTCAGTAGTAAGTATGAATTAGTCAAAATCACAAAGACTACAGAAACTGAAATTTAAATTGGCGCCAATTGAAATATGCGATAAAGGCTATGGCATCGTCGATTTATTAATAGGTAGCACCGATAACAATCATCGACACACAACACTGCGTAGGTGCTCGAACATTGTTACATCTCTAATTGAATCTACTATTATGTAGCAAGTGGAGAGCCCGGTTCGACTATTGGAGGTGATTTGTCAATAAAAAAATTAGTATTTACTAGTTCTCATTTATGAAATACAATTAACAGTGTTTGCTATATTGAACTAAATTCAATGCTAATATTTGTATCTAACTTCGACCATAGATCTGGCCTCAGCGGTGCTCTCACGTGTTTCGGAATTTGGTATCTAATAAAACAACAATGCTTAAATCAACTATAAATTGCGTTAATGCGCACAGAAGATGTTTATCATACTTCTCAAATGCATTTAACAACTTGGCCAACCAAAGTGCCTCAAGCCAAAACGTCAAAAATTTGGATTTGGATGTTTTTGTTAACCAAGATCACAAACAAATGGATTTAGTGGATAAACTTGTAAAGCTGAGGTATTTTCATTGATGAACATAAAGAAGAAGAAAGAAATGAGCTATAAATATTGTGTTCCTTTTTAGAAAGCAAAAGCATTCTACATCTGTGCCGCTTCTACCGAACATATTGGTGAAGCAACTACTGGACTTGTCCGGCCCCCATGATGCAGTTGCTGTTCTGCGAAATCCTTTGCAATATGGCATATTCATTGATCAGTTTACGGGATGCCATTTAATGGATCTGCTGCTCCACAATGGCAGCATTAAGGAAGCTGCTCAAGTCTCTGCTCTACTTGTGGAACGCGACTTATGCAATAATGAATTGATTTCTGCCCTCGCACTTAAATCATTTTACGCTTATCTAAAAATTTATAAACCAAGCCCACCACCTGAAAAACCTGAGAAGCCAGAAGTGGTATGACCTCAACATGTATTACATCAAACTAAATAACTAACCAATTTTCTGGTGCTTCTAGCAAAAAGTTCGTGTTAAATTTCTGCGCAACATCCCTGAGACGATTGAGAAATCAGAGGAGAAACTTCTCGGTGAATCGCTAATCAAATTAGGCTTGAGTCCCAGCCTGGATCAGGAATTGGCCAAAAATATAACTCTGCTTGGTCTCATAATGTCTGATAACTATGCTGAGGCTGAGCAGTTTATATCACAAAATGAACAAAGTCTGTACAAAGATGCTGTGCAGCTGGGGCAGAAACTAATTGAGAGCTTAGAGGGAAGAAGCAATCCCGAATTTAAAACTCTCCTAGATGCAGCGCTAGCGAAGTGTGTGAAGGCGGATTCATTTGATGAGATTTTGGATAAACGAGTTAAGCTAAGCGCCAGCAGCTTTGAGCCACAATTGATATCGGAATACGACAAAAGCTTTAAGGCGTGGCAGGCGAACTTTCAGCGCGCAGTTGAGGACCAAATGAAAGTCCTTGAGACGAACCAACGCATTGAGAACATTGAGAGTACACTGAGTGCCATGGAAGCGAGGAGACAAAATCTGTGGTTCTTCGAGAACAAGGAAGATATCGACATACAGATCTTCAAGAAGAAAGTATTCTATCCCAAGCGCTGGTTCGGCAAGAAGAAGAAGCCAAAGACAGTCGATGCATTCTATGTGCCTCCAACTATAACTCGAGGACATTGATTGGATTTGAGTCAATTCGATCTGATCTGATTTGATTTTTTTAAAAACAAAAAAGAGTATGTCCAGTTTTTTCGATTTAATTAAAGTACTGGAAAAAATAAACAAATTTTAAATGTTGTTTCTTTTTGGTTTTTTGTTTTTGTTTTAGTTTTTGGTTTTTTGTCGAACGGTAAAATTTTTAAAATTACCATAACGTAACATTGAGGGTCACAGTTATATTCATTCCATCTCAGGTTACAACATTTTTATAACTTTTTGAGTTTTCATAAATTTTGTTTGTAGTCATTAAAAGCTAATCGTCTGTCATTTGTGCATGGCCGGAGGCAGAGCTGTTTTTAAAACCCGCTGCCCGGGAGCCGAGGGCGACAAGTTGATCGGGGATGGTAGATCGTGCCGCTTGTCCTGTATGGTCAATGGTAAAAACTGTTGCTGCTTCTTTTTTCGATTCATGTTCATGGGATGGGTGTTGTCGTTCTTGCCAAACAATATGGTCAGATGCACGGCGCAAAAGATGCCCAAGCTCTGTGGATGTCATACAAAACTCTTTAATATTTAATCTGAATTGGCAGATCCAGTTCGTACCTGAAGTATGGCTATAATTGCGGCGCCAAATGCGGTTATCAGCAGACGACTCTTGATTTGCTCCGAGACAACGGCCAGGCAGCCGCGCTTGTAGTGGGTATCACATGCCGATTCGTAAGCGTGTTCAGGACGGGAGCAGCAGGACCATGGGAGGGACAGACGTCGATAGTCGAGCGGGCCATCGACACCGCAACATTGCAGCTGAAAGAGAGTGGGGGAAAAGGAAACTTTTCTATTGAAACTATATATAGAGAGAGATAATCTAAAACTCTTGCCAGGGACAACGACTGAGACTATAATTTATATACATTATTCTATTATTCTAAGCTCACCTGAGATTGCATGCGATTCCACAAGTGTAGGTTGTCAACTTTAGTCCGTGAAAACTTGTCTAAAAACTCTACAAACGAATCATCTATGAATATCTCTACAGAAGTCGGAAGATTCTCACGCATTGCCAAGGACCAACCGCAGATTATGAATTGAACACATATACAAGCCACTAAAAGAGCTGCAAACTACAAGAATCCATTAGCAACACATTTACATATATANAAACTTGGTCAAAATGTTTCGAAACAATACCTACCAATACAATTTGCCAGTCGATTACCACAACATACATCAGATGGCAGTCGCTGGTGACATGATGGAGGATTTCGTTGTCGTATTCCGCGACATGATGGGACGGGTAGGTCGACATATGATACGTAGTATAGCAAATTAACTAATACAATTAGCAATAACTGATTAGAGTGAAATGTATATCCCCCGCGATACATGTATATATATGTATATACATCAAATATTTATGCATAGTTAGATAGATAGAGAGATCAGTTCGATTTACCATGCCTAGCAGACAACGCTTCCTCTGATTGGTTGCCTGACAGCCCATCCAGCAGAGGATGAATGTAACTGGTCCGAGGCATAGAAGGATTGCGGCTGGTGCCCACAATTTGTTCTGTACAATGCCGTAGTAGACCGAGTGTCCCCATAATAGAGATGTTCCCAAAAATATTTGAGCTGCTCCGGTAAGCTGCATATGAAAAGAAACAACAACAAAAAACAAGAGAGTTATTATATGGAATTAAGTTTATAATTATTTTTAATATTGCAACATTAATACATAATCTGAAAAATTTCAATATATAATATAAGCCAGTCTGCCACGCCTTCTTTTGTCTCTTATATACATTTTCAGAAAACAAATATACACCTTTGCAACAAATTTATGAACATATATTTAATATCTGATATTTATATTAATGTTTTATAATAATAAATTATTATTGTTATTTTACATATTTTTATCTCTATATTATACTATACTTATTTATTGCTAGCCTAAAAATAAAAGCTGCTAAAGTTTTCTACAAATTTCAAGGACTCCCATGACAGTCATTAAGCGCGAGCATCCTTTATAAATTCCATTTCGTATTTGCATTTCAAATTATCGAGAAAATGTCAAGAGGGAATTACTGCAATGACCTCGTCAACAAAAAGCCCAATTTTAATAATAAATGTGTCAAAAATTTCAATACATATACATAATTTTAACAAAATTTATGTCAAAGGCATTTACTTAAATTTTACATATAAACTTTTACTGTTATTTCTTATATGAAACTTTCATATCATTTACTTTGACAGCTTTTATACATATGTAAGCCCAAAAGGTAGATACATACAGAGGCATATTGTATATATACATACATATGTATGTATATATACTACATACATATATGTTGCAGCAAATGTAAATTAGCTCAAGGTCATCTGCAATTGCACAGAATTGTTGCTAGTAAATAGAAACGCACGCACGCATGCACATACACACATACGTACACATTTGCGTAGCCAACTCCTACACAACAACAGCAATATATGTACATACATCCATATGAACAGATTCGAGTATGCATGTGTATGTATGAGAACATAGAGAAATGCGTCAAAGAAACATTTGAATTCAATGTATGTACACATGTATGTATGCATATATATTATGTATATACATAATAATATACATATACAGCTAAAATGAAGTACATGTTTATTTATCAAATTGCAATACATTAATTTTAAATATAAACTGCATACAAAATATGCTCACAGTGAATGTTTACAAGTGTGGAGCAAAAAACTCATTGCATCACAAATGTATACAGACATACACACACATACATATGAATGCATACATGCTGGAGCTGTAACTGGAGCCGATGTAACAAATGTTGCTTATGCATATGCATGTATGTGTGTGTATGTGGCCTAAATGTATATTTGCATATATGTATGTATGTATGTGTATAAATAATTCTATACTTTACAAAAAAAAAAAGCTTTTCTTTGCTTACTTACCGCCAAGAGGAACACATAACTGTAAACTAAATACTTAAAACATTTAATCTTTTTTGGCAGTGCCATACTCCTCCCTCTTGCTGCTCTGCTCTGCTCTACTCGTTTACTCTGCTACTTCTTCTTCTTCTTCTGTTTTTCGGATACGTTTTAATAGTCTTTCCCTTTGATCCTTTCGCTTAAGCAATCACAAGTTGCAGAGACATCTATATACATGTATATAAAGCGAAATTTATGTCAATCATATGCATACATATACATATGTATATATACATGTGCGTAGCAACTCCATGTATATATACATGGAATTTGTTGCTAATGCAGCAGCCTTTGCCAATTGCATATGAATTCATATAGATTTATGTATGCATATATACATATATATTATATAGGAAATGTATGTTTTTATGCAGAAGTTAATTTGATTGAATAATTGCTTTTCATTTTTTTTCCTCTTTTTTATTGCGTTATGTTGCTTCACTCAAGTCTTGCAATTTTCAACGCTTTTAGTTTGTTTTCATAGTTAACTCAATGCAATTCACATGGCACATCAGCATTTTAGCTTAGCTATATTTTCTTAGCCGAACTTCACGGTTGTAAATTTTAACTAAATATAACTGTTTAAGTTGACTGGGAGCAAGCGAATTCCGTCCACAGCTAACAAAAAACCACGCAGTTTACCGTCTGACGCTTTGTTCCTTGTTTTGTTATACTTTTCCAGTTTAACAGTCAAAACATTATCTATAACCTTTTGCGCCTCTGTCGCTGGCAATCGAGTCGATGACAGGCGCGGCGCAGCGCAGCTCTGATTGGCGCGCCAATCAGCGCTGTTTGAAAATCCAATTCGACTCTTATCTAACATGATTTCTCTTTGATTATAAATGAAGCAAATCTAGAGTAATTGCATTGAATTGTTATTAATTAAATGTTTTTATTTAAAGAATCGCTAAAAATTAAAATTGCATTATAATTCAAGCTAATTTTTATTAATATATAATTAATATTAAATTTATTTTAATTATATTTTACAATTTAAAGAATATTTTACATTTCTATCAACTTTTTATTCTTAAAGGCAATAATAAAATTCAATTTCTGATACGAATTATTAGAATGTTTTTACTTTCGATTTTATACATATAAGAATAATGTTAATACCGTACAAATGTTTATGTCTATGTTTATGTTAATGTTAATTAACATAACCTTATATCTCATTCAAACTTTTTTATATTAAACAAATCAAGACTCCACATTCCACATGAACTGAACATATTTTACTAAATTTTAATATATTAAAAAAAAAAAAACAATGCCATTATATTTAAATAAAAAGGTAAGAGTCGAATTAAGATTAGAACTAAAAGTAGAAATGTGAGTGTGAATAAAAATCAAATTTGCCTGACCAAAATATGCTCTTAATCTATTGACAAGCTTATATAGTTATAAATGTCTATAAAAATACATACATTATTAGAGAAATTCAATTAGATTTACTCCCAATGAGAGTTAAATATATCAATGAATTATTATTATAAATTTTCGTAAAACTTACTCCCAATGAGAGTTATCTTAGTGAATATTTAGTTAATGATCTCCAACATATAGATCACCATTTAATTATAATCACAACTATTGTTATAAATTTTCTTAACACGACTATTTAAATTTATAAATACAACTATTACATTTTTACTTAATATACTTAACATTATTTTAAACTAATTAAATACTTACCAAAAAGCAGAAGAAGAAGAGGAAGAAGCACTGGACTGCACTACACGGGACAACCGACCACCAGAACGTCAGAAATGCGACTGAAGCATTGATGCAGCAGGCTTCTCTTTATATAGGGCAGCGATCGATCGGTCCCTCCCGAGCAGAGTCGAACTCAGCTCGTGAGCTGAGCAGGTGAGAGATGTTAAGTTGCTCATGTATGTATGCAATTACTTCTTATATGACTAACAGACTCCATGCAATGAAGTGCCAATATGCTGTCATAACACATACACACATACATACTTACGTTCAATCAACTTATATTCTAATAAGCAATGACATGATTAGCTAATTCTCAGTTTTAATCATTTCATTAGACTTCTATAAGTGATCTAATGGCCTATTAGGCATTAGACGGAATAATTCGTATTGGATTGTGCGATTTGCATTTAAACAAGTCAGCTTATGTTCCAATTGGTATTTTCCATAAATGATCTAGTCAACTCAACAATTATAATTGGAATACACATACGCATGTAATTAAACTGAAAATCGTTTAAGCTCATTTCAATTGGATTATGCATTTCGACTAATATTCCAGTACGTCATCCCAGTCATAGCTTTACTTGGAATATATCATTTCAGTTTTATGCCTATTCCAAATGAAGTTATAATTGCCATTCCCATTAACAACTCCACTTAGCATTCAGTTTGAAAGCTCATTTAGTTATATTCTAATTAGCAATAACCAAACCAATATCCAATCAGAATACACAAATGTGATTTCAATTATTTTTAGCTGTTAACATTTTGCAGTTATATTAAAAATTCGAAAACAAAATATTACACAATGTACAAGGAAAGTGAAAGAGAAGTTAAAAAAGAAATGCTTTTGTTTTTTTATTACAATCTTGTAAATTTGTTCTGTACAACTTACACATGCTTATTAACGAATTCCAAAATGTTTCAAAACTACATATGTAATGTATGCAGAAGAGAGTGTATAAAAATATGCTGTAGTTGTTTTTTTTTTTTTTTTTTTGCAGTTTTTTTTTTTTTTATCAAAGGTAAAAAGTAAAATTTAAAAGTGTAAAATTGTAAAATGTGAATCAAGTAGAAAATACAATACAAATTACAATACCTTTTGAATATATATATATATAGTGTATATAAAAAATATGCTTAAAACCTACGAATGTTCCACTTAAATGGACCAGCCGGCTTAAAGAGGGACCCCGCTTAGATACCAGATACAAAACTCATTACATATCATATCTGATCAGATCTATACAATAGTAGGCCAATATATGGGTGGCTGCTCGCACCGCTCGTCTAGACGTGGCTCGTGCCGTGGATTGCCGAAATGAAATGATTGAGTAGAGTGTAAATTGAATGTGTAAATAATAAAGTTATGCTTTAAATGTACATTTAACATATTATTTTATACAATAGCAATGCAATGCAATGCAATGCAATGCGATTGCTCTGCTTTGCTCTTGTTGTACTGTTTACCGTAAGTTTCTATATATATATAAAAATTCAGGTCTCTTTGCAATTACGTGCTCGATGGGTCGATGGGCTCATCATCGAACAGATCTTTCCTACAGATTTATTCCCGAAGATTCTTGGTGAGCAGAAGGTTGTTGTGATGCCCCGATAGATGGCGCACCAGCTCCTGCACCGACTCGAAGCACATCGAGCAGAAACAGCAGCTATATCGATTCTCCGTATCCGTTCCGTTGGTCGTGGTGATGACGTTTCGATGCACGGAGCACAGGTGCTTCAGCAGGTGGGCCTTCTGCTTGAACATGGCCACACAGAGGCGGCAGGCGAACGGTTTCTCGCCGGTGTGGACGCGGAGATGTGTCTTCAGGTTCCAGGACATGCCGAACTGCTTGCCACAGTATTCGCAGCGATATTCGCGCACCGACGACGTCGTGTGCGTGTTGTTGGCGGCGATGCTCGACACGGACGCGCTGCTGTTGCGACTCTCCGGATCCAGGCTTAAGTTGATGTGCGATAAGCTGGACAATCGCGACTGCAGATTGGGCATTGCGGAAAGCGCCGCATTCTGATTGGACTGCCATTGGTAGACGAACTGCTGACCCAGATGCATCTGCAGCTCGGGACTTTGAACTCGATTTCGTTGGGATTCGAACAGTTTCCGTTCGGGCGTCATTGCGTCTGGATTAAGTGCGCCATCCTCCAGTTGCGACAATATATTCTTCTCGGATGCCGCCAGACCCGCTATCGGCGATGTTGTTGACTTAACCAGACGCAGTTCCTCCAATAGATTGTGCTGATACGTGGTGAAGGGCTGATTGTCGCTCTGCGTATTGTGGAAGCCCGGCCGACGCTTCCGATGCGGCGTCACCACATAGTTCTCGGGCGAACTATTGATGTCGGCGCCATCGGACAGCGGCTTCATCACATCCTTGTGAGTGTCGAAGAATAGTCCTTTTCGCTTCGTGCTCTCGTGTGCGCTGATCGAATCGATGTTGCTTTGCTTTAGCAGATAATTCTTGGTATCAATGCGTGGCGAGTTGTTGTCCCCTTTCGTCCGCAGATCGAGCGACAAGTTGACAGGAGTTATCGATGAGTTATTAATATTGTTATTGTTGTTGTTATGAGTGGTGGCGGTGGTGGTGTTGGAAGCGTTRTTGTTGGTGCTGCTGCTGCTGCTACTGTTGTTGGCAAGTCCGCCCGCTGGAATGTCGGAAAGGTTTACAATTTCATCAGTGTCTTTATCGCTCTTATTGTCCTTGTTGGTGCACTCATCGTCCTCATCCTCCTCCTTGCTGTGCGAACACTCATTGCCGGCCTCACAGTTCTCGGCTGGGAATGCGTTAAAATCGCCAGTATTTCTAGTCTCGTCCACGCTCTCAACTTCATATTTAAACGATTGATCTGTGTGCGGGGACGGATACTGCTGTGGGTGCGGCTGCTGCTGCTGCTGTTGTTGTTGTTGTTGYTGCTGTTGCTGCTGCGGCTGCTGTTTCCGTGGCCTCTCTCGTATGCTTCCGGCGCACTTATTGCTAAGATAGGCAGAGTCTGTTGTCTTCCAGCTGTCCGACTTGATTTGCAGCAGCAGCAGYAAGTCGTGCAGATAGTTCACATCCCGCGACGTTATGCACGTCTGTCCCGAGTACAGAAAGTCCAACAGAAACTTGAAATATGTCGCGTTGACATCAGGAAAATAAACTGTTGTCGTGCAATCGCTCAGGTGAGTATCCTCCAGCAAATTTCTGCAAATTGCAATTAAAATTGAATTGTAGGCGCTCTTCGATTATCTAACGATACTCACCTTATGAGCGGACTGGCAGCAGCTAACACTAATTTGTGTGCGTGTAACTTCACCTTGTTCTCGCAGACGATCGTCAGGTCGGCTGGATGCTCCCCCCTAAAAGCCGCGCCAATTTCTTTGAGGATGCACTCACCATGCTTGCTGTATTGCAACATCAACATTCTTTGAAACTGTAAAAGTGAGAAGAAAACAAAATTGTTTATTTGAGCATAAACATATAACATATAATATTCATATTGAATAATATTTGTATAATATATTGCCTATGTAAGAATATAAGAAATAGTGTTATCCCTATACAAAGCCCATATCTCTTAACAGCCCTCAGATTTCCACATATTCATAATAATAAACCATGGATTATATATATAAATGGACTATTAACATAGTCTTAGTATAGCTTTCGAAAATCTCTATTCTTGCTTACTAATAAATTAAAAATAAAAATTATTTATGCCTAATCTGTATGTAGCTAACGAGAATTCCTAATTTTATGTTTTTAGCTCTCATAGTCTACGAGTAAAGCTGAAGATCCAATAAAACTTCGGAAAGACACATACACACAGAGATACATATCGTACATATCGCTCGTTAGCTTAGTTAAAAGCATACATAAATAAGTATATCTACTAAATATTTAACCTCAATTTATAATATACCAAACTTTCAAGCGATCTTCCATGCATACACAAAAACCCACTCACACCCACACAGAAATACTCAGCAAAAAGAAAGCATTTTTTAAGCCACGACTAAAATACATACTACACATATATTATATAATAATTAGTATGAAATAAATACTTTCATCCATTTATAAAATATCAAATGTCTGCATATACATATAATGAATATTTTATTTTCTTAGCTATGATTCATACCCGGATCCTAGTTACTTTTACTAAAGACTTTTCTACCAAAGGAATACAAAGCCCAAGCTTTTCATATACACATGCATAAAAAGCTTTCGAAAGCTTAACAATTAAGATTGGAAATTGTTTCGCTGTAATCATTTTTTTTTTTTCTTTTCTTTTTTCGTAGAAGGGCATCGAATTTTTTTAAAACAAACTAAATTGTTAAAACCAAATGAGCAAACTCACTTTGTCATCTATACCAAGTGTATGTGTGTGAGTGTGTCTGTGTGTGTCTGTATGTATATATTAAATGTACAAATAAAAGGCCATGTGTCATTGTTGTATTGTGCAAGAGCACGGCTTGTCTTGTCTGTCTCTGTCTCTGCATTTTAGAGCTTACATACATACGTATGTAGGCGCACACACACATGGCTGTTAAACTGTGCGTATATGTGTGTGAGCGTACAGGGCCACACATTGAAGCTAAAGTTCACAGATCTCTGAAAACTTTAGAAAGAGATAGTCTTGCTTTTGCCGCGAATGGAGAAGAAACGTTCACTTTCAATAAAACTTGACTGACTGGCTTTGCCCAAGCAGCAAGAGAATGGTGCGCTTTGCCGTATTATGTATTTTTTATTTTTATTTTTTTTCCTTTTTTTATGTCTTGGAGCTGTGCCTGTGCTGGCATAGTAAGCTGTCTAATTTTTTATTTAATTATTGGCTTTAGAAATTGAGTTAAAAGTAACTTCTAACCTTTTCAAATTCGTATAAAAATACGAATGTATACATTATATCGATATATAAGTATATATTATATATTAACTTAACATAAAACTTGGTAAAAGGTAGCCAGTCGCATTTACTATAAAATGAAAGTCTAAAATGCCTTTCTTTTTAACCACAAACTGTAAAAATAAAACTAAATGGAATGCGGAAAACAACTTGAAACTGCTCAGCATTTACTATTTATAACTATGAATTTAATATTATAATTTAACAAAACTTTATTGTAATTTCTTCGTTTCTAAAAACATAAATTCAAGGAGTATTCTAATACAAATAAAAACTAAAGGTTAAAAAAAAAATAAAATAATTATTAGAGAAAATATGCATATATTAAACTATTTCAAAATTTTTATTTCACATATTAATTCTTTTTGATTTATGTTTATTTAATTTCCATTCCTTTACTTTTTATTTTAATTTATTTTGAATATACAAATGATGTAAAACTGCAAAAACAGTTTATTAAATTGCCCTGCTTTAATTATTTCTATTTTTTAATTGATATTAAAGTTTTATTTTTAATTTTTAAATTTTTACTATTATTTTCATATGATGTTCATACCAAATAACAACATAGTTTTACTATACTAGTTTTCCTGTTGATATTTTTACTTAAGTATCAACATTAAAATTTTCATATATACATATATCCATACATACATACATATGTATATGTACGTAAGTACATTCAATGTACACTTTAATAAAGAAAAAATAAAGCTAAAGGCGAAAACTGAACACAACAAAAACAACTACAATAACAGCAGCAAAAACGCGCTTACAATCGACCAACAACAACAAAAATCACCTTTCACAAAAAGCTTTTCTCTCGATGGTTCAGTTCTCTCTATGYATGTATGTGTGCATGTGAATGTATGCATAAATGAGAGTATGACTGACTGTGTATATTCACTCATGTCTATTTGTGTTTGTGTTAGATAAAGGCATGTAAAAAGCTTTCGAATTACTCTAAATGAGTCTGAATAGATACATGTGTTGTGTATATGTCTCTCTATGTGGCTATGTGTATACGAAAGCTAAACAAATACTTATGAAAATATGCAGGCCTGTGTGTACAAAACACGATCACTCAGTTACGCTTGGCTTTTCGAATTTGTCGTCGTAGTTTCAATATTATAAAGTTTTGCAATCCGCTGTTCCTATTTACATACATACATACATACATAAAAATGTAGGAATAAATGAAAGTACATAATCTGTTAATATATGTACATATGTATGTACATTTACAAATATGAGAAGAAAGGGTTTTCTATTAAATTCGACATGTATATACATACATATGTATGTACATAAAATAATCTATGTAGCAATATGCATGCAAGTACATCATATTTATGAAGTGAGCGGATTTAACACGATCAAACTTGTTTTTTGCTGAAGTTTGTCACGGGCGAACCAATACTAACGTAATGCAAAGTTTCTGCTCATTTTCCCCTTTCACGAAAGCTCTTTTTGGTAAACCAGCCGAAATATCCGACTCGCGCACAAACACACACACACACACACACACTAGCGCTCATCGCGTCGTCGTCGTCGTCGTCGTCGTTGAGCATGTTGTAAATGCCACATTCGTAAAAATGACCCAAATTTGAATTACATAATTATAGCAATGAACAAACTCTTCTTTCCCCATCAATCTCAGTAGAAAAAATTTAATTGCTTCTACATAACTTTCTATATTATTATATATATACATACATTTCTTTATTTGTTTATTTATTTAATAATAATAAACTATTTATGTATTTATTTGTCTGTATGTATTATACTCTTACATACATACATTCATACATATATACTTATTTGTACATACAAACGATGTTGACGAAGCTTATTAACATTTCTGCGCAACAATAAATGAAAGAGAAAGAGCGACGAGCGTAAGCGACGTGCACACAACAACACAACACAGAAGTTGCTTACTCGAACACCCATACTAATGAAACTATGCTTATATATAAATGCATGTATATATAGCTACACGTACACATACATACTTGCGCCAGTATGAAGACATTTATGTATGTATGTCTGTCTATCTTCATGTATGTGTATATACATTCATATAAGCACGCTATGAAGGTCACTAAGCCTTTCTTGTCTCTTTTGCTTGGGTGCGCGTTGCGTTGCGATCTTTTATTGCTGTATTTGTTTGTGCTGTCGCTGTTAATCGTGACGATCGGACGGTATACAGAAAACTGGGCTCTGCTGCACATTTACATACAAACATACATACATGCATAAATATATACGTATATAAATATGTTGAGTATGCATATGTATTTATGTATATACAAGTGTATGTGTGCGCCGTTTTGTATTGAAACTTTGTCTGCTTTTCTTTATAACAGTTTTGAATTTTGGCCTTGTAAGTGTTTTTATGTATGCACACATACAGACATAAATAGATACGTGTGAATTCAAATACTACCATTTATATTTTAATTAATTTAAGTCATACTCTATTGCTCAATACCATGAATGAGAATGATTGTATGTAGATCATAAAAAAAATATACATATGTTTTCACTAGCAGCTTTCAAAATTTTGTATTTTTTTGTTATAAATTAATTATTTATATGTATCCGTATATGAGCACTCTTTATTTAACTCACCTCTTTCATTAAGTCTGTAGCAATTACTCCCTTTCACAAATAGCTGGAAAATCTTCTGTAGACTTTCTGAATATGCACATATACACTGGCATACATATGTAAATATAGTAGTATTTCTGCATGTACGTATGTATGTATATTTATGTATTCATACACACTATTGCACATACATACATACAAGTGCGCCACTGAGCAGAGCTTTCCACTTTCACAGTCTAGTTAAAGATTGTGTATGCACATACATACGCACATATATATATGTATATGTATATTCCTGAATGTGGAAGTGTGATGTGAATAACGCGTTCTATTCCTTTTGCATCGAAAGACAGAGTAAACTCACGCACACGCACACAAATATAATATTGTGTATTTATTAATTATATATATATGTATATTTAATTATTACTTTCAGTTTCAGCATCTGTACACGTTCATATACATAGGGCAACTGCTTCTGTTGTTGTTTATCATATTTGTACGAGATTTTCAAACTCAATATTATAGTAGTTGTAGTTGTAGAGTAGATTTAATTTCTCTTTTGAGTGTTGGATCTTGTTTTTAAGCAACGCACGTACAGTTCACAGTTTCATTAGCTTTTGCTAATGCCACAAACAACAACACATGCACATACCGATGCCAGTCCACATGCATGTATGTTCCGCACACATACAAAAAGTCCACAACAATAAAAATAACAGCAACAACAACAGTAACTTTTAACTAGGTTGAAGTTTTGTTATATGTAATACATTATTGCGAAATAAAAAACTTGATTGGTAAAACTTTTTTCCGACTTTGCGAGCGGAGAGATCGGGCTTTTGCCTCTCTTAATCTCTCTCGTACTCTCTCTCACGCTCTCTCGTATAAAAGAAACAATGCTTTTCTCTTACAGCACGCGCGCAAACGACAACACGTCCGACCTACCAAAGCACTATTTGTGCACTAAAACTACAACCAGCGGCAGCCAACGACAATCGACAGCAGCGTAGCGCAGCGCAGCGCAGCTAGCGAGATCACACAGACTTCGTGTGGAAATGGCTTGGTCTTCGTCTTGTTCGGACTTGTTCTCGCAGCACTTCGCTTTATAATGTGTGTTATGCCTTTTGCGAAGTAGTAGTTGGATTATTATAACACTGTAACAATTTACATACATATGTATGTATGTAGGTAAGCATATACATATTGATGTTTGAATGACTTACATATACATACGTGTGTAACACTTACACACATATTTATGGTGTGTACCTTAAAGTATACTCTTATTTCAAGGAAATTTTTAGAAAGTTTACTCAGGTAAATAATTCATAACATTTGATTGGAGTGTATGTATGTACGTATCTATAAGCTCAGATTTGCATATACTACATACATACATACATATGTACATACATACATACATACATACATATGTACATACATACATATGTATGCATCTGTGTAAGTATTTGAATCAGCATTAACTTTCAATTTAGCATTTCTAACTGTAGAACTGTCCAGCTGTCTTTTAAGATGAATAAACTAGATAATAGCATTACTAACATTTTTATATTCATATGTACATAATACAAACGTTTGTGCATGTATGTATCTATATGTATATTTTTAAATTGTACTTTATACCTTTTTATAGAATATATAACGGCTTTGAAATATAATTTATTATTTATATGCATACATATACATACATATGTATATAACTTTGAGGTATTTACATACCATTCTGAAGCAGAGTCAGGCATGGAAAGCATTTCTATTTACAATTTTGTATTTTTCTTGTTTTGTTTCTTAGTGCTCAACAATTGTCATGTTTGTCAGTATATATATGTACATATGTACATATGTATGTATGTATATTGGATGTCTATGATAGATGTTTGTATACTTCCTTAATGGTTTACTATTCGACAATGGGATGCGATCGTCGTTCATACTCAATTTGCCATTTGCATACGCTGCGTGGTTCAAGGACACGTTTTTATTGGTTTGCCTCTTTTTGAAAGAAAAGGGTGCAAAGGCTGCAACACACAAAAGAAAGTATTCAACATTTAGCCAGGAAATAAGTATGTGCTTATCTATGTATTTATATACATATACCTTAAACAAAAATGGCATAAATACATTTAAATTTTAATTTGAATAGCAACATTCATTTAATTTGTTATAATTAGCTGACAATTTAATTCATGTCTCATTAAAATACTGAAGACTATACATATTGATGTCTGAGTGACTTACATATACATATGTACAACTATATACATACATACATACTTATGTATTTGTTCTTCAATTCATTTTTTGTAGTATTTTAGAGCAGTTTCTTTTATGTATGTATGTATGTATAGACATTAACATATTGCCTAATACATAATAGACCGATGCCTCGTTAGCTGTCATTTGCATGACCTTGATCCTTAAATCCTTTACGCCTACGCCTACTTAGGCATCCCCTACACAATATACCCTTTCTTTCAAAATAGCACAATTAAACTTGACCTTGAACTGGACACACGGCACCATTAATTGCACCCGCTTTCTATTTGTAATTTATTACTTGGGCTAATTTGAATAAGCCGAAGAAGCAGACAGAATACAAAAAGAACTGTGAGAATAATAAGGATGCTGAACCTATACATGTAAACCAAGTAGTAGAAACTTTACGCTGGGAATTCCTTATGTACATATTTAATTTTTAAATTATAATCTATTCTCATTTTCTTACTCTTGTTATACTGTTTTCTGTTACATAAATAACAATGAAAGTCGCTAACTGTTATTAAAGAGATAGTAGAAATGTATACATATTCAATATTCATTAGAGAACTTTGTATAAATATCAAATAAGTATATTCATATTTTGAAAAAATAATTCATTCATTCATTCACTCATTATTCATGATTTGGCTTTTAAATAGCTAAGTCCGCTAGCACTTTTCTACGTTACTGCAATATCGATATACTCTAATCGATAGTTGAAATAAACATACATTAATCGTTTGGTCAGCCTGTTGCCATCTTTGAGCACCAATGCACTTCAGCTAAAACATCGATCATAATTTGTTAAAGAGTTGTTAAACGAAAAGAAATAAGAATAAAAATGAATGTGAGAATTATTCAAAACCGAAAAAACTTTATAACTTTAACAAACTTTCTGCGATCACGTAAGTTCCTCTGTTTTAAGCATATAGGCTTACAGGCTTCGCAGACGAAGCAATTGATGACAGTGAATCTGAGTGATCAAAGTCCAAAAATATTTTTTATTTAAATACAGATGTTCATATGTATATCAATATGACGATGTATTTGCCAATTAGATAAGAAGCTGCAATCATGTTGAGTTGAAATAATTTGTGCATATTATTTATTGTGGATTTGTGTAATCTATTAATCCCAATCGATTTACATATATGTACATATACACATACATATATACATGATTTCTCCTTATATGCGTAGATGGATGCCGGTACTTGTCCGTCCAGGCTGCGGCTCAGCCCAAACGAAATGCTAACACTCAAAATATAGTGCTTGTCGATGGCGTACGTACGCCTTTTCTGACTTCTGGTACATCATACTCGAATTTAATGCCACATGAACTGGCCAGGCATTCCTTGCTGTAAGTTGATGATATAGAAAATAGTAAATATATACATTCATGAATATATTCCTTCACCCAGCTCACTGTTGCAAAAGACTCGACTGGACAAGGAACTTGTTGATTATATTGTCTATGGCACCGTTATACAGGAGGTGAAAACTTCCAATATTGGCCGCGAGGCGGCGCTTTCAGCTGGCTTCAGCGATAAGACACCTGCGCATACAGTTACAATGGCTTGCATAAGCTCAAATGCGGTATGCACTTGTAATAGTCAACTAACCGAATATACTTTTTATTAAATACATGTTTCATTTCAGGCAATCACAACTGGCATGGGTCTTATTGCTACAAACACATATGACGTGATTGTTGCTGGTGGTGTTGAGTTTATGTCCGATGTGCCAATTCGTCATTCGCGTAAAATGCGTTCGTTGATGCTGAAAGCGAACAAGGCTAAGACGCTGGGACAGCGCCTGGCTTTGCTGTCGACATTCAGACCAGGTTTCTTGGCGCCTGAAGTATGAAATAATCAAATGAAATACTTTTTTTTTCAAATCTTAAATCGGTTCTTTCTTAAATGCATCACAGTTGCCAGCTGTTGCCGAGTTTTCGTCTGGCGAGACTATGGGTCACTCCGCTGATCGTCTGGCCTCCGCATTTAATGTCACTCGCAAAGAGCAGGATGACTACGCTTTGAGGTCCCATGTTATGGCTAAGAAGGCTCAGGAAAGTGGATACTTTACGGATTTGGTGCCCTTCAAGGGTAAGTATATGTGCTATATAATGTTACTCAATCTAGTTAATCAATTATTTATGATTTTAGTGCGAGGCGTTGATCAAGTCGTCGACAAGGACAACGGCATTCGTGTGTCAACACCTGAAAGTTTGGCCAAACTTAAGCCAGCTTTTGTGAAACCCTATGGCACAATTACTGCGGCCAACGCTTCCTTTTTGGCAAGTTTTCTTTTTTTTGTCTGGCTTTAAATTTCCAAAGTTAATTTTGTTCACTTTCAGTCCGATGGCGCTTCAGCTTGTCTCATAATGACAGAGGAAAAGGCCAAGCAATTGGGCTTAAAGCCAAAGGCATATCTACGTGATTTCCTCTATGTCTCTCAAGATCCTGTTAATCAACTCTTATTGGGTCCTGCCTATGGCATACCAAAACTTCTCAAGAAAGCTGGACTCACACTTAAAGATATTGATAGTTGGGAAATTCACGAAGCTTTTGCTGGTCAGATTGTTGCCAATTTGAAAGCTTTGGATTCTGATTGGTTCTGTAAAACATATCTGGGTCTCAGCGAAAAGGTCGGAACTCCCGATTTGTCCAAGTGGAACAACTGGGGTGGATCCCTGTCGATCGGTCATCCATTTGCTGCCACAGGCGTTCGTCTATGCATGCACACGGCCAATCGCCTGGTCCGTGAGGATGGCAAGCTGGGTGTGGTTGCCGCGTGTGCCGCCGGTGGGCAAGGCGTGGCCATGCTTCTCGAGCGCTATCCTGGAGCTACGGCTGACTGAAAATATCAAATAGTTAGGTTTCTTTTTTTAAACACCTAAATAAATAACTTTTAATAAACACACTTATTGGCTGTAAAAAATGGAATATAAAATCAAATTAGAATTTTTATAAATTGTAAATATAACTAATTGGATTTGTCGATAGTCCTGTACACCCTGTAAAATTAAGAATAAGCATTATTTTCCTTAGTCTGGGTGTCTATGCATACGAGTATATGTATGTATATCGCCTACTTCGGGTAATATATTTGTTCGTGCATTTCTCTGAAAATCTGTCTCTCTGTCTAATTCCTTGTCTATCTCGCAGTCTGTCCCTCCGTCGGTCTCTCTTTCTGTCTGCCTACCAAAGCAAAGCTCGAAGAAGAGCTACAGAAGATCATTCAAGTTGTCTACATATATGCAGCAGGCTTCATTTGGTATTTATGGAATGCTCGCAGTAGCAGAGAGAGTGCTCTCATTGGTCATTTTAAGCTCAACTCAGACGACCCCTACCTGGTGTCGGGCTCAACATTTGAGCGCGTCGTAGTAGTTGTGTGAAAGTCGACCTATATAAAGGGCAGCAGCTGCACCATTTCTTCAGTCGCCCAGGCCTGGTGGGGGTCAGTCGTGCAGTGCAGTAAAGTGAAGTGAAGTGAAGTGTGATTGTTTAACTAAGCTAAAGACATAGAAGAAATTATTTAAAGGAAATACTTAGAGGAAAAACTTAGAAGAAATTTTTAGAGGAAGCACTCTCTTCACGATTCGCGATGTTCATGTGTGTGTGCTGCAGTCTGTGAGAAGGTATGCATAATCTATAACCAATATACATATTACGTATGAAACATGTACTTATACATATACATTATAATTCTACTTGGCTCTCATACGCCTGCCCTACATTCCCTCTCTGACGATCTCATAGACTCTGATTGGATTCTAACTATACAAAGAGTAATCAAGTTATAGAGTAATTACGAATATAGCTCTTTATTCTGTCTCATAAAGCTGTTGTTGCTTTAGTTTACTTTGGAGAACGTCGTTTTCATTGTAAGTGATGTGTAGCGGAGGTATAAGAGCACACGCCGCCATTCTGCCCTCCGCATTCAGAAAATTGAACGTAGCACACGCCTATAAAAACGAGAAGAACCATTTTAGCAATCAGACATACTTAAAGAAGTGCTGCACTCATACCTGTTCTGTGCGAAGAATTTCTACATTTATATTGTACTTTTTCATAAATTTAATTATTCGCTTTGTCAGACTTGCTGTTGGATTTTGGTCGCCGATGCCTATTATAAGTACATCGATTTTCGGTTCCAATGTGGGAAAAAGTGAAAGGCTTTCTTCAGTTATATCTTCAAATGAGTTCACGTTCCATGATAGTACGGATCTAAAATGTTAAACATTCTTAAATGGACATTTCAGTTACATAATAGGCGACTGAATAAATGTCTTCATTGTACACACCTAGGAAATACAGTAATAGGGCCTATTAGTACCATATTGTTGTTGAGCCGAAATCCATATTGGCTATATCCTGTAATCATAAGTCCCATGTCCGTTTCGGTGTTGAAAATGGAAACTTTTGTTTTGCCATCATAATCATATGCTTTGCTAAATCGTGTTCCTATTGTTGATATCCCACGCTGATTTAACGGCTGAAATAAACTTCTCACAGCAGCAGCTTTTAATGCCACACTACCCAATGCTCGGAAATTCATTTCAAATTATTGGTTGCCTCAATCACTTGCCAAATATTGATACGAATCTTTATTTGTAAACACGAAGTCTATTTTATCGATAGAAAGTTCGATAAATATCACATGTGAATATAGTGCTTTCGATAGCTCGAAATAGAAAAGAAAATTAGGTCAACAATTAACTTTACATATGTTAGTTTTTATAATTAATAATATTGCATATCCAAATTAGTCCATATATTTTATGCTTTTCTTATGTTGATAGTGGAAATGTATGTATTTATAGCTTATTAATCGTTTTTTGCGATAGCTGTTTAGATTAATTTGATATAGTGACAACAAATATACTCATAAAATACTTGTCATATATGTATCGATGTAGAACTTCGTCACAACACTCGATTAAATCATAGTATAATTAAAAAATTAAGACTTTTTGCATACCAATCCATGTGAAATATAGAGAAAATTAAGTTGGTAACAGTTGAATATAAAAGTTGCTAACCGATTTACAATTGAGCAAGTATCGCTGTTTTACTGCTGATAAATAAGAAGCAAATGAAAAAATGACAGCATGAGCTCTCTCTAACCAGTTGCACACAATAATAATATGTATGAGATGTTTGTATATACAAATGTTTGATTAAGTGTCATGTAAACGAAAATAGTTTAATGAATCGCTAAGAAATGTGTACATGTTAATAATATAGAAATGCGCCACTTGGGTAGTAAGTAGTTTTAAGTTATTGTTTTTTTTTTTCTTTTATATGTACATACATATGTATATTTGATAATTGAGTTACTCGTTGATATTATATGTACATACATATGTAGTTGGAGCATGAGTAAATATGTTTGAAAATACATGCAAACATTGCATGTGTATTGGTTAGCCTATAAATATACATCTACGTATCTTCTTATGTGTGTATATATGATTGTGGCTATCATCACAATAATCATTGATAAGAAATGTCCAGAGCTTGTGGTTGGAATTAGTTACTCCATATAAAAATATAAATACATGTGTATATGTATGTGTACATTCTATATATGTAGAATTTATATTCATGACTAATTGGCTTAAATTGGGAGCAAACCCTTAGCTAAATCGCATTACTAACCAATAGGAGCAAAAGGTCAAATAATAGAGGAAAACACGTAAGAAATCAGTTCATAGTGGGCTTTACGTAGTGCAATGTTACATTTTCGCGAATAATTTTGTGATTTAAATTGTGTCTCAGAGTATCAATGTATGCAGCTTTTTGTGTTATTGTCAACAAAGTGTAAATTTATAGATGCCTAGTAATATTTCCAGTAAATATTTATATTAAACTGGTGTTTGTTTTCTAATTTTTCAAAACAAAAACAATTTAAAGAATTGTCAAAATGTAGACCAAAACCATGTAGATCTAAATTTTTTGTCTTTCTATTTCTGCCAAGTTGATAAGTCTAAACTATATTTGATAAACAGTTTGTCTGTCTTACTGGGAATTTTTATATGTATGTACAAAAACACTTAAAATACCAAATAAAATACTAAATTTCTTATTCCGCTAGCTCATGCTGACGACAGCTCTGGCCTAAACCGCAATTACAATATATGTACATGTGCACTTACAGTAGATGATACGAGTAGACCGCTAAAAATTTCATAGCTTAAGAGGAAATTGAAACATCAATTCATAACTGCAATCAGTAAATCTTTTAAAATATTTATGAAAAAATTCTGGCTTGGTAAAGGAAGGCCATTGTTTCAAACATGTATCAATCTTTTTACTGAAATTCGCTTCTAGTGAAATATAGATTGCAATACTGACAGTAGGCGTCGCTTATCACCGCAAGATAGTGGTCGAAGGTTTTGAAATATTGTTGATTACTGAATTTTTGTATATAACTAAAGATGAGGAACATTTAAAATATGTAACTAAAACTCATTAAATATATATATATTATATTATAAATGGTATATCGTTATTTATTTATTTATTTTTTTAAATACCAATTATTCATAAAAGTATTTTACTTGCTTTCTCATTTTAGCTATTCGCTAAAGATTCCAAGAATTTATAGATGATATCTACCTCACAACAGAGAGAAAAATGATCGGTCCCAGTTCACAAATAAGCAAGATATTATTAACACTATTGTTTTTGTTAATAATATTCTATGTTTTTATGGACATTGAGCTATATCTGCGAATACATAACTATGCAATCGATCGGAATTATCACGTCAATGACACATCGGCGCCATTATCGTCTCTAGAACCATCCAATTTGGCATCGGATTCAAGCAGTGCCCTAAAAATACCCACCGTTGTTGAGAAGGAACCGTCCTATGATCACAATACCTGGATATCATGCAATTTAAATCCACTGTGTCATGTAACAGTGAAAGCGATACTGTTAGATCACACCAATCATTATCTCTTCGCACCGCTGGCGACAATCTTCGATAATGTGGTCGGAATCTCGCAATCGACGTTCATCACACCAAATATGATATCATTCTTTCATGTAATCGTTGCATGCGTGTCAGGAAAACTGGTGGCATCTGATAGCCTGGGATATAGACGGCTAGGTGTACTACTCTTTCAAATTCGGACGTTTTTGGATGATTTGGATGGCCATGTGGCGCGTGTTAAGAAACACATACGCGGTGAACGCTCTGAGATCGGTACATCGGGCTATTATGTGGACGGACTTTGTGATGGTCTCGGATGCATTGCGCTGCTCTTAGGTATATTCTTTTTCCTGAAGAATAACCCACCTCGGCGAGGCTACTCCATAATTCCAATGAGCGATTCCAAAAATCCAGAACCAACGATTATTCCTAAGATGAAGGCAACGACTCGCAAAGTTGCGAAAAATGTTATTAGCTTTACGGGTCAACTCTTGTTAAGTTCCACGGCCTGGAATCGTTATATAGCTGTCTATCAAAATATGTTGGAGCGCGAGGATGTGAACAGCAGTCAGTACCAGTGCCAGAACTATATATTTAAGTCAACATTATTCTTTTGCGTTGCTTGGATGTGGCGCATCGTCAACGTGCACGCCCTGCTTCACTGTGTTTTGCTTAGTATATTTTGTGACAAACTATGGGATTTTCTAAGAGCGATACGTTACAGTGGATATATAATATTACTAGTTGCCATTTGCTTAACTGAAATGCACATTTTGGAGGCCCAGAACTATATATTTAATTCATCAGCGTGCAGTAACATCTCACTGTGATTTTACACCTATAATATATATATACATATATTACTGAAATACAATAATATTTTTGTAGTGGAGATCAAAAATGCCTTTTTATACCCTGTAACCATAATTTTAAATTTTGTTTGTGTGCGAAATGCGAAATACATTGTGATTGTGCGACTTAGGGTAATTACTTTAGTACGTATCTGTCAAATATATATATTAATATACAATTAGTTAACGGTCATTCTTATTCTGGGTAAAATATCTGTATGCTACTAAAATATTTCATTTGGTTGTACTGAAATACTTTGTGCTAAAACGGAGTCGAACTAATAAACCTGTGGGACACGTACAAATGCAGTTGCCTACATCCTAAATCCTCTAACGCACATAGCGCGAGAGCTTTTAATTCACATCTACAAATTTGTTGGAGTCTTAACGGAAATCCAACTCGATTTTAAACCTTTCGCTTATTTTACAAAATATCACCAATACAATTATAGACAAAGGGTTTTTTTTTATGACCATAGCTAAATGTTGGTCATTGTATATATTTTGTTTACTTCACATAACAGTAAGCAAGTAAATCATTAATCGATTTTCATTTAGAATCATCGATTGAATACCGGCAGGCGTCACTGGGACGTTCATCGATATATCGAAGCGTCGATGTTTTATTGTGCATCACTAGTATACATACACAAAATTTTATCTTGAATTTTTTGCAAGGAGAAATGGTGTACTTTACGAAATCAAATTTATTAAAAACAAAATTGTAAATATTCTTTATATTTATTACGCACTTATTAAAAAGTGGATGTGCATATTGACCTAGCGTGTGTTGTGTCGAGATTCGAGCGTGAAAAGAAAAGTGACTTCGATCTGGTTCTGACTGTGTGTGAATCTTGTGAGAGAGCGAGCGTTAAAAGGAAATATACAACATAAAATATTACGTGTGTGAGCTGTACTGAAAACATACATACATATATTGAAGGCATTACATCCTGTAGTGTTACTACTAACCCCTTATTAATAGTGTAAGAATTGTTGTATAACCCCATTTAGGAGGGCCTTATCGCAAACCAACATTTGTGACTACACGCATACATACATACATGTGTATGTGTAAGCAGAAATTGTACATGTGGTTGTAACATGTACTCATTCGTTAGCATTAACTGTGCGCATATGTATGTAGATATGAAAAAACGTGTAAAGTCGATATCATATTTCTTTACACATTCGTAAATACATATGTATGCAAACGAATAAAGAATTGCTTTTAAATATTGATTATGAAAATATATAAAACTTTTAGTTTCAAATTAAATCAAGGCTACAGAAAAAAATGTATCGGCAAGCCGATTATTAAATATCCTTGCAATTATATAGCAGATGTACATATTAATTGACACAATTTGATGGAAGCTAAATAAATATATTCCGCTGTGTTTGAAAAGATGCAGCCATTTATGGCAAGTGCTTAAAATCCCCGTCTAACGACTTGCCCTATGATTTATCACACACGCATACATACATAAGTACATGTGTATATAAATACATACATACATACATACATACATACATACATACATACATGTGATGTCCTCATTTACATGACACTGCAAGGGTATTCAAAGTAATATACATATATAATTTAGTACAGAAATCGTAGAAAGGCTTTTTTTTATTACCTGGAATGCGTTTCCTTATTATTTTTAGGTTATGATACTTAATATAATAATATTATCAACATAAATGCTTTTAAATATTAAATATATTTCATATATCCTGGAAATCTTCGAAAATGTGATCTAATAACTTAGATCAGTTTAGAACATATTTTTAGTGCAGTTTGGGGCTAAAGCTCGAATAGGGAAAATAGATTGAACATAGCTTGCAATAATTATGTAAAATTGGGAAAGTTATAATTTTATAAAATGAGATTTTATATTTTAAATTGCTGCAATTTTATGTCCACTATTATTAATAATTAACAATATTACTTAAAATTTTAATATTAATTTTATTTAAAAAAAGAAAAAAAAAAGAACCTTTTATTACTTGTTTAAAAGAGAGTCAATATAATTTATTGCATACTTTTTCCAATAATATACAAATGAACATATTTTAAATGTATTAAAAGTCAATTGTTTATGATTCGTGATACCAGACTTAATTTACGAAATTCACACAGTTTAGTTAAAAACTTGTCCAGATGTGAATTAATGGGATTTTGAATGTTTTTGATCAGTGTGCGTAAAGGAAAGGTCTGTGAGCTGTCTGTTTGGAAGATATGAAATACGAGTATGTGTTTATGAATGTGCATTTGTATATTTATATGTATTTGTGGATACGTGTGTCTGTACGAGTATGTGTATAAATATTAGTGTATGTACGTGAGTAAATATGTATTTTGCTTTTTTATTGAATGTTGAGATTGAGATTTTATATTAAATCGAAATGTCCACACAATTTCCAAGACAAGGTACAGAAGAAACTTTTCAAGCCGTAAACTAATATATTTTCCAAAATAATTTTTTTTTTTATATATATATAAAAGGGCACATTTTTCGAAATTCCCAATTGTTCATTTGAATACATTTTTCCTTTTGTTTTTTTTTGTTTTTTAAGAGATGGGAAAACAGTTTTGTCATTTTTACGAAATTAAAAACTAATGCGATATTCAATTTTGACACATAGAATAACAGAAACTTGGGAAATAAATGGAGTAGAATAGAATTTAAAGAAAATATCACAATTTTACCTTTCATACATACAAATTTCTTCTTTTTTTTTTTTTATGCAAAAAATGATATATTTAGGCACACAAATAGAAAGTTTTACATATATAAGTTTAGAAGACATGAAAATTATTTAAATCCAAAAAAACTTCAATATCATTTTAAAGAAGTCAAGGAAATTGAGTTTACTATTTTTATAGTATATTTAACTTTTTATATATATTATACACACACTGAATAGGCAAATGCAAGAACAATGTGTGAACAATATATTTGTCTGAGTGAGTGAATTTATTATTTTGTTCAAGGAAAGTTTGTAAAGAATGGGATTACATGTATATGAAGTATATATCAGAGTTGATTGAATGATGCCGTAGATAACAATTAAATAATATATATATGAAAGAATCATATAAATTATATGAAAAATCTTGTCAACCTTTTAGACTTTTGAGAAAAACGCAAAATGGATTTCGTACAAGTATCCGAGGAGGAGGGTGATGAACCTATCGAACTGCCTGCTGAAGAGGATGGAACATTGTTAATATCCACGCTACAGGCGCAATTTCCTGGTTCGTGTGGCCTCAAATACAGGAATATGGACTCGAAGGCTGTGCGCGGCGTTCGTTCAAATGAAGGCAGACTTTTTCCACCAAATGTTGACTCTGGTTGGGGGGAATACGTCTACTTTTGTGTGTTTCCAAAAGGTATTGAAATTAACAGAAGCTCTGCCGAACAGCTCGACAGTCCTTATCGCCCCATATTGCCTCCCATAGAGAACAAACGTAAGAGCGATGATAACTTGGAAAATTCAACGGCAAAAACAAAACGAATTGAAACCCGTTTGCGATGCACTGATTTGATTGTTTTGGGACTGGCTTGGAAAACTACCGAAGACAGCTTACGGGAGTACTTTGAGAGCTATGGCGAAGTGCTGATGGCGCAAATAAAAAAAGATGTCAAGTCGGGACAGTCAAAGGGATTCGGATTTGTACGTTTCGGTTCATATGAAGCACAAATGCGGGTTCTAGCAAATAGGCATCTGATCGATGGACGTTGGTGTGAAGTCAAAGTTCCAAATTCCAAGGTAATGCCAACTCATTTCAACTTAAACAGAAAACCTTATTGATATATCATCTTATATAATTTCCAGGGCATGGGTCATCAAGTGCCGTGTAAAGTATTTGTTGGTCGTTGCACAGAGGATATCAACTCAGATGATCTCCGCGAATACTTTTCAAAGTTTGGCGAAGTCACCGACGTTTTCATTCCCCGACCATTTCGGGCGTTTAGTTTTGTCACGTTTCTTGATCCCGATGTAGCACAATCTCTCTGTGGTGAAGATCATATAATTAAAGGTAAACAATACTTTATTCGTATGTTAAGCTTTGTGTAATAATCGTTTAATTCTCTTTTAGGGGTATCGGTTCACGTTTCCAATGCTGCCCCCAAGGCCGAGCAAAACCGGACCCATCAAGGCCAAAATTACAACTATAACTCTGGAAATAACTTTGGGATGCATTCGTACCATCCACAAGGGAACCACATGAACTCTGGCCGTAGCGGACATCATAGAGGTAATAATCAACACAATCTACACGGAGGTGATAACACTGCAATCGGCAATAGTCACAGCAACATGGGCAGTGGTGGCTACGGAATGGGTAGCAATAATAATTATGGTGGAAATTTGGGCGGGGGTTACACGAATAGTAGTAATCATAATAGTGGTGGCAATATGAACCGCCAAGATGCAGGTATTCCCTATAATAGGCAGAATAATTTTCATGGCATGAACCAGCCACACAATGGCAACGTAGGCAATAGCGGTTGGATGAACAGGGGACATTTGGACATGCCTAACCTACAAGCGTTAGGCATAAATTCGCAAGGATCCAGCTCTTCAAATCAAGGGCAAAACATGAACAACCCTTTAGGCGTCGGACTTAATTTAAACTCATTGCCGATGAACCCTGCTTTGGTTGCTGCTGCGTTGAATCAGTGGAGCCTTCTTGGCAATCAGCTGCAAAATCAAAACCAGGATCAGCAGGCAAGCCTTCTATACAATATGATTGTTTCAAACAAAAAACTCTTTCAGTTACTTCTCAGGGAGGCAACTTTTTATCGTGGATGGCTCAAAACAACGGAGGACATTCTAACTCTAACATGAACTCTGGAAGCCGCAAAGGACCAAATAATCCAAACAATTCCGGCTCTGGCAGTATGATCAAAGGTGATAATTCAGCTTCTAATGATCAGCAGGTAAGCGCATACCTGGTGGATCAATGTCAAGCAATACTTAATCAACAAAATATTTATTTTTCAGAATGGTAACTCCTGGTCAAATCAAAGCAGTGGCTCGCAAAACTCTGTGGACAAATCAAATTTTCTCTAAATAAATAACTAACTGTAAAGCTCTTACCAATATGGTACGATTAATATCGAATTAAATCAGTTTTAATTCAACAATTAAATTTTAATATTTG